AAAAGGCCACGAGCGGACGCGTACTTGACCGGCGGATGCACCTCCGAAGCACGCAGAATAAAGACTGCCTCTGGAGGCTGGGCCGGCACGCTCGGCGGATGCATCTCCGGCAGACGTAGAGCAGCAACATCTCTGGCAAATTATCACCGGTTGTAGGAAGCACAGGCAGATAGTGTGTAGAAACAGGCCGAACGGAAGTGTATGGCTCAGCTGAAGAATTTTCAGGAGTATCAGGAGCACGGGACAGTTATTCAGGAACTTGCTTGAGGAGCAGAAGAGGAAGGTGTCGCTGCTAGCAGGGACTGGACATTAATCCGGTGGACGCACCACTTCATGCACAAAGTCGCGCACTCAACCCAGTTCACGGGTAAACAATGAATGTAATTCACTGAGCGACGGAGCAGGAGAAGGTTCAGACTTGGCGTGGCAACCATAAAATGGTGACCGTATTTGCCTGGTCACTACTCAAAGTACGCGATGAGCCGGCATCTTGAACTGGAGCAGAATTCCACACAGCCTGATAATGACCACGTTTACCGCACGCCGAGCCGGACACTGAGCAAAAATCAGCTAAGTGGCAAGGTGATTTGCAAGGGAAGCAAAACGCAGGTGGCGACTGTGCAGAAGAATGTTGCATTGAGCTTGAAGATCCCTGCTTACCTTGAAAATGCGAAGTCAAAGATGGGAATGGGTCGTTTTGAAGGCTTCTTCACCCCCGTGAGGCGGAAGGGTGGTCATGTTGAGCGCCGCGATGAAGCTAGGAAGAAGGGACCCATCATGGCCTTCCAGCCGAGACGACGAGAAAGGGGCCGCCATGTTGGCATGGCCCACGAAATGATTGGGCGCCATGAGGCCCCGCAGCGGAAAGTTGCTGCTCTGAACGGTGCGCGAACTGCTCTAACTGCAAGCGTACCAGATCATCATTTTTTGCATTCGAGAGGGTTTCTGAAAGAGTGATGGACGAGCCTTTTTCAAGGAGCCGGAAACAGACATTATCGGATGCGACGTCAATAAACAAATAATGCCTGATCATGCCGTTTTCAAGCGCGCCGAACCCGCAGGACACCGCTAGCGACTGGAGACTAGCGATGAATTCTACAACGGGCTCGCCGGGGAGCTGACGACGCTCTTGGAAGGGGAAGCGCGCGGCTTAATCGCAGGACGCATCTTTGAAATGGTCTTCGAACAATGTGACTGTGGCTTGGAATACACCAGATGACGCAGGCGTCTCTGACGCGTTGGTGAAAATCAAAGTGTGATAGGAGATTCAGGCCGGCGTGGCCCAACACGTTAAGCAGCCAGGCCTTCCGCCGCTCTAGCGTGTGGGCGTATTCCCCGGCAGCATCCACGTATGATTAAAAAATGAATTTTCTATCAGCCTAAGTAATCGGCGAATCCCAGGGCGTAAAGAGAAATAGCAGTGGAGGTACGGGATACGCCATCGCAATTGAAAAACTACACATACAAAAATTGGCAGATCCCACGTACAGTGGGAATTGATGATATGCAAAGCAAGACTGAGGAAGGTGTCCCTTGAAGATCAGCCCAACGTTACGAGGTGGAGGTAAATTATGCTGTACATGACGTCCATGTCATGATTATCATGTGTGCGTCTGTCATTTTTGTTCATCGTTCATTCACGTCACATATTACCAAATTTGGTATATCTACACCTAGCTAAACGGCCGCAAGTGCGCTATGAGTGCAGTATGTATTCATGTTTTACATTACATGCATGTAATTATTATCACGCTTGGACGTACTATTTAGCTTTTTCGTCTATTCACGTCTCGTAATACTGAATTCGGTATATGTGAAGCTAGCGAAATGGCTGCGAGCGCATCATGAGTGTGGTAGAAAGTCATGTTCTTATATGACATGATTATTATGTTTGCGCCGGTCATATACTTTCATCATCCGTGCATGTCACCTAAATGTCACAGCTGTGCCACGAAGGGGAAGCAATGAACGCGATAGCAACAAATTGGAAGGTCACGCGCAGGGTGGCTTGCAGATCGAAACGTGCTTTTGTTTTTCACGCACAATTGACACACAAAACGTACTCACAGGTACCGATGATCGCGAATAGGCGTCATAGTTGTTACTTCGCTGTATCTGAAAAACTCGCCCTAGTCGCAAACGGAGACTGTGCAAAGATTGCAGTGACTTTTGTGCACTCGGTAACTACAACAGAGTCGTTCCGGTGAAATCCCAAGGCCAGCTAAGACGTACCATTGTCCTCACTGCGAGATAAGCACGCGTGTTAGCATTCACCCAGCTCTCTCTCCGCTAGGCAAAATACGCGTTAGAAATAATAGCGCGTGCAGCCCTGTCGTGACAATGTGGCTACGCGAGCTCATTGCGCCATCTTCCTGGTGATGCTTAAAACAGGATGGTAGTCCCCGAGGGGCCCACCACCAATAATAAGTGGCATATATAAACAGCTTGCCGTTTAAACATTGAAAGAGATGCTCATTCGCGGCTCACCGCTTAACGCCTCGCACTTCGGAGGTCTCACGTTCGATTCCACGCGGCAGAGTCTTGTTGTGGCTTAATTTCTATTGCATATATATATATATATATATATATATATATATATATATATATATATATATATATATATATATATATATATATATATATATATATATATATATATATTGTGAGCATCATTACTCGTACTCGTTCCATCTTTTCATGTGTACATACTCATCATCACCACTCCAGTTTAGGTTGTGGGGCGCATACTCGAGACAATAAAGAAGAGTCTTGAGGGTACTGGACGCCATCCTACAAGTGGTGGAGAGTGCTGCCCGATTCCTGCGTCCTCTCGTGCTCTCGGAACACCCCAGCGTCTCTTAGAACACATCCCTGGAGCTTCGTTTAGGCCGCCGCTTAAACGACCTAGGCTCGGTAATGTCGCAAGCAGACCAGCCCAGCACAGCAGCTGCGCGACCACTCCCACCACCAAGAAACCCTTCTCACCTGGTCACCAGCCCTCAGAAGGATCCTCCGCTGTTCGCAGGGCTTCCGGTTGAGGACGTGGAAGACGGGCTCGAGGAGTATGACCGCGTAAGCGCCATCAATAACTGGGATGAGCCTGCGAAACTCATCCACGTTGCATTGTACTTGAGTGGAGCCGCAAAAACGTGGTTTTTCAACCACGCTACATATTTTTTGACATGACCCGCCTTTACGCGCCAGCTCCGCCAGATTTTCGCCAACCCGTCAGTGCGCTCGGATATCACCAAGAAACGGCTTGGTGCACGCGTTCAACGCCCCGGTGGGTCTTACACTTCTTACATTGAAGATGTTCTCGCCCTTTGCCGCCGCATCGACAACCATATGGCGGAAAACGACCGTGTGTGCCACCTGCTAATGGGCATTGCGACTTTCGCTTTTAACGCGCTTTAGGTACAAAATCCCCAGACCGTAGCCGATGTTGTAACTACCTGTCAGAGCCTCGAGGAGCTTCAAACCACTCGGGTGCAACCTGATATGCCTGATCTCAGCTCGAGTCATGACACAACAAAACTGCGTGCATTGATCCGCTCTATCATCCGCGAGGAACTTCATGCGCAGGCTTCACCTCGCCACTATGATATTCGAGCGATGCAACCTGCTACTAGTTTACGCGACGTCGTGAGGGAGGAACTGGCCTTGATCACAGGCACACCAGTTCCGAGCTCCCATCCCGTGCCCATGCCAAGTTATGCTCACGTTGCTGCAACGAGGCCTGCGCCCCACCAAAGCCTGGCCTCGATGACTGTAACACCAGTTCCGAGTTCATATCCTGTGGCCATGCCAACTTATGCTCAAGTTGCTGCTAGGACACCTGCACCCCAGCACAGCCCAATGCGGCTACCAGCGCCCGATGTGCATGGTTCGCTCAACTCGCTCGCACCGCAACCATCTTCCTAGCCTTACAACACCTGGCGCACTACACGACCGACTTGCTTTTATTGCGGCATCCGTGGTCATATTTCAAGGTTTTGCCGACGCCGTCAACAAGACGAAAGACGAAGCTACGGTGACTATGAACGGGACAACTTCTACCCAACTGGACCACCCTATCACCGACTGTATCAGAACAGCACACGCCGGTCGCCGTCTCCGCAGAACTTTGCCTCAGTTGGCAGTTCCCGTTTCCCACGTCGCCGCTCACCTTCATCGATGCGGCGTTTCTCCTCTCCCCTTC